TTTTATTTTATTAAAAATAGTTCACTAAAAATGTGATTTTTTGTGTGTGAAAGACTGCTCAATTTTGAGAAGATATACATACTATGTTAAAAGTAAGAAGTGTTAAATCTATAGATACTTTAATTGAGTACAAAGAGGTCACGTGGTCAGTCAAATTGACCGAGCCCGTGTTGAGAAAGTTAATTGAATAGCCTTTAGTAAAACTTTATTTTATTCATATCTGGTTTCATTTCATTTTATTGCTTTAACGCTATACTTATATCATCACAGAGTGTACTAAAACCACTTATCACAGTGGAACAGCTTTGTGTAAACAAACAATTGAGTTACAATCACACCACGCATTGTGGGTAGTTGCTATATAGTTGCCTCCATATATTAAATGTATTTAATTTTTTTTATTTACATTTTCTTACCTAACCTAAGAAGTTTCTAAATTTTACGTTTTAGACACTTTTTTAACAATAAATTAAAAATACACTTGTACAACAAGAAATTTAGTACATAAATCAGGATTCTGACTTTTTGCTATCAGAGATGAGACACTTTAAACCTACTTTTTCAAGATGATATTCTTTGTCTACAAAATAATTTATGTTTGTCTTAAACTAGCAGATACCCATTGTAAGAATTCAACGGTAATTTTCCTAAAAATAGTGATGAATAAATATAAAATGTGCTGTCAACCCAATCCCTTGGATCAAAACATATGTGCAATATGATTGTCTAGTGGACTGTTTATAACTGTCTTTTGTTAATTCATGTGTTATTTCAGTAAGAAAAATTTCATTGTGTTTGATTTTAAACAAGGAAGACTAATTACAGTGCATCATTGGCAAAGGTGTTTGGATTTCCATGCAATGGGTTCATCCAATACAATAAGGACACTCGGGTTCACTACGTAACCATGGGGATTTTTTCCTCTGGATGCCACTATTCCTTGTCATTTTACTAGCACAAGATAAGACTGTTACCAAAGTGAATGCTTTTTGACAGTTGTCATTTCTATAAGGAAGGGGAGATATTGCATTCAACATGGTACAATAAAATATTGTGTGTATATAATACCAACGTGAAAAAATAAATATACACCAAACAAGAACAGATATATACTCAAACATATTCCTCTCTTCATGTATTTTTTTCTGTCCATGCTTCGGTCTTCGATATCTTTCTTTCAGTCAGATGACAGAGGAAGTCCTGTTGTTTTTTTTCATGTAATAGCCTCACAAAAAGGAACATTTTTGTTCCTAATATGTTTTATCTCAAATCAACCATTCAGCACACATGAAGACTGAAATATTGATGTTGATATCGACATGAATTTTTAGGAATTGCAAACAATTAATAATTTTCATGTAATGTACTCATGAAAAGAAGCATTTTAATATGTGTCAATATTTTTTCTATGATTGACTATTCAGGAGATACAGAGTATAACAGGACGACAGACATCTGGTAATTATATGTATATATATATATATATATATATGCATTTTAAAAAATATATATACCAGGTACTGTAATGGGACATCCTAAAACTACTGTAATTTAATTGGTTTCCTAACTAAACTATAAACAGGTTTAAAAATTCTGTTAGCTACTTGAAGCTGAACGCCATGATCATAAACAGTAAAACTGAAGCCAAATATCTACTTACATGAAATAACCCCTATAAAAAATCTTTTTAAGAAAAACTGCTCTTCCTGTTGGTTTTAAATAATTCAATAGCAGTGTAAGAATTATTAACATTTTTTTGAAAGACTGAACGGTACAGGAGGTGCATGTCAAGTGGGTTTAACATTATTTTTATATCTCAGTCAAGGAAGAAGATTGGAGATTCTGAATTTATTTTCTGGTTTGTCAATACCTATAGTATGGGTCTGTAATTAGCTGGACACTCTGTAGCTCATTAAAGGGTAAAAAAAATATCCAAAATGGGCAATTCAGAGCACAAGGCTGTCGTGTGACACGGAAAAGTTAAAATTAAGAATCAGTTTAAATATTTATTTTTATTTAAATTAAGAAATTTCAAGTTAGATAATATAAAAGTTGAATTATAAACCCTGTTTTGATGCCAAGCTTATTGACATATATTAACAACAAAGTTGTGTAATAAAGTTTAAATTTAACTGTAAAATGTCATGATATGCAACATCTGTAGTAAACATAGGGTTAATATTAGTAAACAGTATAACTCACTTATTAATCCTGTGGAGGACAAGGTTTGTCTTGTGTGTATGTAGTTATACTTTATCCAGGACATCCCAAACTGTTTAGAATTAAGTTCTCTATCATTGATTTTGCCATGGTGCTAAGAGTAATTCAGTGTTGTTAGTTAAACAAGAGTTTTGTCACTCCCACATCATAACATTTCACTTTTGTGTTAGAATTTTTTCTGATGGCAGGAGTGGATATGGAAGTCACTGTTGCAATGTATAAAATTCCATCTAGAAGCTCCTTTTCCTGGTTTCTGTAATGTAAAAAAGTCATAATTCATACCAAGCTTTTGCTTGTTTGTTTCCACTATTTTCATTTCTTCTACCTTCACACTTCATACAGATTTGAATAATAGCAATGTAGTCCTAACATTGCAAAGAATAAAGTTATGCAGTGGTAGTGCATTTAACATAAAGAACATTAAAAATAAGTTTGATTTATGTTGTAAGGTACTAAGAAGCCATATATCAAACTGAACTTGCAGGGTAAAAAAAAAAAAGATTAACCAAAATTGATTACAGTGGTAAGATTGTTAAATGTAGTAGATACAAAGGGAATTGTAGCTTGTGATATATAAAATATCATTCCAGACTGCCCAAGAGAGACCACAACCTATGATCTTGTTGCTGCCATCTGTCATCATGGAACAGCTAGTTGTAAGATTTTTTGTTCTCATTTCTTGAATTACAGGATTCACTGTTCCTTTAAAAAAATCTCAAAAATGGTTGAGTAACGTTTTTGAAAGTATGCATGAAAGATTTACATGTAAATTTATAAATGTATATATTGGTTAATTAACACATGTTAAATTAATCTGAAGTAATTATGTAATTAGTAAGACAAGACTGTTGTGAACATCACAACTGGAGAATTAATGTAAAAAAAAATACATTGTCAACCTTTTATATTACCATAATTTGTACTGTAAACATATTAAACACAAAAGGTGTGAGGCAGTTTATTTTAATTTTACTTTTTAGACAAAAAAGGGGAACCGTGCTGCATTTTTTTCTCAGAAAACCTATATATGTATACAAGCAGCAACAGTGGTGTATCCACTATAGAGCCTTTGAGATCCAGAAAAATAAATAATAGCCATTTTATGGCAATGTAATTTAGTGACAATAACTGTGTGATCAAAAAGGGCAATGGAATCCAATAATGAGTAATTTTGTGCTAATTTGAATGTGTTTATAAAACATTTTCAAAAGTGAGCAACACCACCCCTCCCCTTTGGAAAATCCCCTGTGCAATTCTTGGCTTTTAGTGTTTCCTTAAACACATCACATTCAAGTTAGCATACTTTAATAGTGCTCCAACTTTCCAAATTCCCGACTTAATTACACCTCAGTAGTAGTAGTTATGCTTTTTAATTTCTTCAGCTATACAGTGGGATTCCCACAATTGATGTTGCTTCATTCTCAGATATAGAGTAAACTTCTGTTAAATTAGTCACAGAAACTGTTGTTGATGGCATCTTAAAATTTTTTCAACCTTATAATTTTCAGCCATTCTGTTTGAAAGTGTTCCTGCTTTCATAACACGAGCTTCTCTTATTATATGAACAACCAATAGTTTTAGGTCTTCCTGGCCCAGACATATATATATATTGGTTTCCACAGGTCAAAACTCAAACATCAGCAACACACAACAAAAAGTGGCATGTTTGCTTAAATGGGTAGCATGTGTAATTTACTGGATACCACACTGTGACTGTAACTGAACAATGTAAATAATTCCTTAAAGATAATTATATCTGCTACAGAAATGACATAGAACATTATAATAGGCCTGTACCCTGTAGATATATTGTATAACTAAGCCTATCTATATCAGATGCACCACTGTGCTGGTAAGGATGAAGTATGCCTATTTACTTTCAAATTGATGAGTTTAACAAAATACTGTAAAGCTCATGTTATCATTTAGAAAGTTATTTGTAAACATTTACAGGGTTTAAAGCCTGAATATTTTTACAGTATTACATTTTTTTTTGTTTCAGCTGTGTTAATCATCATACACATGACAATAGTAACTTTATTTCATAGTATTAGCTTTTAGAAAACTTAATGCTAGGATTGTTGTTTTTTAACTCAGGTGGACACTATACAGCATATGCTCTGAATTATCTTAATGACCAGTGGTATGAGTTTGATGATCAGTATGTTACAGCAGTAGACCCTCAGGTTGTTAAAAACTGTGAAGCTTATGTCTTATTTTACAGGTAGGATGTGTAAAAAACATAATTTTTATAATAATAATATAATATAATTTTTATATAAGAACAGAGAACTAGCTGCATAAAAAACCTTATTTTACAATTTGAAATTAAAATTGTTCTGTTGTTTCTCTGGCCTGGTTATTAGGGCTTTCAACTTGCAATCTGAAGGTCATAAAACCTAGTATTGAACATTTTCATCTTTTCAGCCAGGGTATTGTATAATGTGATGGTCAATCTCACTATTTATTGGTAAAGAGTAGAGCTGGGTGATTAGTGGAACTTAATAGGAGATTAATAGTCTGGCCTAGTAATTGATTATGTTCGACTAACCGATTATTCTCACAAAACTTGGATTGTTAGAATAATTGAAAATAGTAATAATTGAAACACTAATTTTAATTAGTTGTTTATATTTGTGATTCACAATGCTAATCACTTAAGTTGAACAACCTTGAATGAATTGGTAACAAAAATGAGAAGTCATAATGGCAATATTTTGATTATTTGGCTACTTAATATAATTGAAAATGGTAATAATCTGAAACACTAATTTTGATTAGTTAATTATTTTCATGAAATGAATTGATTTGATTGTAATTTTGATAAATCAGTTATTTTATGTGACACTAATTGGTGTAATAAAATGCTCATAGGTAATTACCCCGCTCAGCTATAGTAAAAAGTAACCCAAGTGATGGCAGTGGTTACTGCTTACCAGATACTTACCCTATGGTTGGCAGTTCAAAATTAGGGACAGCAGCAGATAGCCTTAATGGCATTGCCATAAACAACCAAGCAAACAAACTGTTGTTTCTAAGTGCACTCTCATGTCATGTACGGAAGTAAATGACAAGTTCTGATACAATACAACTCCTCTCACATAATGGCTTTCCTTGATTTGTGCTGCCCTCTGTATGGGAAATTTCACTCGCCACTAGCCCTGAGGCTCCTAACTAACTTCACATGTTCACACACGGTATAGCTGCATTGTAGCATGCAAAAATCATTCACCAATAGGTGTGTAACACACACTTCTAGTGCAGCTGACTCCCTTTGTACTGGAGATCACACTCATTACTTCGAGATTAGGCAAAAAAAGGGTGCAACAAAAGTGGGGAGGATAGGTGAGAAGTGTGAGAAGAGGTAAGTAACTATCAGAAATACATTTTCAGTGTTGGAAAATGTTAACTTCCAAATACCTCCACTCACATAATAACTAGAATCTTACACTGAAACGGTAAAGGTACCTGTGCAAAAGTTACCTAGATGAGCACTCTTCAGAAGGCATCCAACGAGAACCAATATAGTGTGATACCCTAACATATAGGGTTACACACATGGGAGTCAACACCACAGTCTAATCCAGGGTATACACATCGCCTGCTGTAAAGGTGGAAAAGACACAGGTTCAATCTGTAAATGGATGTGCCAGATGGTATAAAATGGTTAGGTGTGTCAGAATGTATTTGGTGGGTCAATTACAGTTCAAAACCAGGCAGCACCGGGTATGTGTCTACTGGTTCATGGTCTCAACCAACTTCACCTAAAGATCAAAAATCAGAAGGGAAAAGCAACTTCCCATTCAACAACCCAGGCAAAGTACTTATGTGAAAACCTAGTACACAACCATCACCAGGCCTCGCGGAAGCCTCATATATGAGCAATGGTAGGAATAGGGAATGCAAATGTGGTAGGTCAACTACGATCTAAAACTAGACAGTGTTGGGAATGTTTTGTCCAGTTTGCAGTAGGAGGGCTCTTACCAACCACATCTGTGAGGAGTTATGTTGACTAGTCTTATGCCAATCCAACTCCATACCACCCAGGAACTGGCATACAGGCTGCAGTAGGATGGGGGAAAGCCAGCCAAAAGAGTGAACTGCATGTGGTGGATGCATGCAGTCCAAAACCAGGTGACATTGTTTATTTGTCTTCCAGTCCACAGTAGGAGGAAAGTACTCACCGTCTACACCAACTGAATACCACCATCATACTCTTGACTGAGTCGAAATGGTCACACTCAGAAGGAAGCCTCCATGGTACACCACTTTCAGTGGCTAAGAACTAGTGAGTGACAAGGAATTCCGTAGTCAACTAGAAGATGGAGGCAAAAAAGCAGGCCAATCCCAGTTTATTCAACTAGGACTAGAGGAATGGGCAGCATTTCCAACACTTCTTTACTCATGATAGTCCATGAGTTGGTACAGTTTGTAACAAACCTTATTTATAAAGCAAGTTACCCCTAGAACCCCTCAAGTGAAAGTCATATATTCTAAAGGTTTCACAGTGCACATTTAAAGTTAAGGCAACACTCTCCACACAACAGGATCCAGGGATGTAGAAAGAGGCCACTGGAAAGGTAAAAGATAAAAAAGTATAACTTACTCATTCAGAGCCTGTATGGGGTATGGAGAATGACTATGGGCAGCAAACATTATCCAGATAAGGAAGAGATGGCAAAATGATGTAGTAATGCATAACAAAAGTGTGAGGTGTAGTCCACATACCAGTCTTCACAACCTCTGATCCAGGAAGTGAGCAGCCAGGGAAATGGTGCGATGATGGATCTGGTGAGAGGAAACTTGGAAGATACAACAAGAATCTTTGGTCAATGAAGCATAAGCCAGACGAATTAGTTGACTGATCCAACTAGGAAGGGTAACAGAGGAGAGTTCTTGGGTAGGAAAGAAGTTAAAAGGGATAAAAAAGTAGAAATGGGAACCACAAAAAGGAGCTGTTTAGGCAACATAACAATGAAGAGCTTGTACGGGACAAAGAAGAAGATTGGGATCAGACTGGGAATAAAGATGAGCAGTGGATAGAAGGGAAATAAGTGTGAATGTGCTGTTTCCCTCTTGTACCACAGACATTTTGGGGAAAAAAGCACAATCAGGATAAAGGAGAACATAGGAATGATGATAAAGGATTTGGGAAACATCAATACCATACACATCTGACTTATGACATCCACATGCAAAGAGGAGTAAAAAGTAACTTTTGAGAGAAAGATGGTAAAAAGAATAAGAAGCTAAATGCTCAAAGGAGGAAGGATAAGAGCATGAAGGCCAATATTGCAATTCCAATTTTGTAGGACAACTGGTCGGTGAGGATGAAGAAGGTGAAAGGACCAAAACAGGAGAGGAAAAGATATGGCAAAAACAGGAAAAATGAAAAGTATTGGGTAATTCCACCTTATAGCTTACAATGGTAGAAACAGATGAAACATTGTCAAAGAGCCAAGTGAAAAAATTGGAATGGTGGAAAACAGTCATTTGGGAAGGGAAGACACAGTGACCAATGATGGTAAATGTGCCATTTATGCTGGTAAATAAGCAAAGAGGTAGAAAGAACAGAACAAGAAAGAGGCAACACTATTCCTTGCAAAGGACCAGATAACACCCACCCATGAAGAAGTAGCGTGGATATCACTAGATGAATGAGGGAGGAATAAGGTTGCCGGAGAAGGGATTGGGAAAGAGGAAGCATACCAAAGAAGGTTTAAGAGTGGAAACCATGGCTGGACATGCCAGAATGTAATGATGAGAAGGACCCAACAATGAGTGGTTTGAATAAGTGAAAGGACTTGGGGAAGAAGAGGAAAGGAAGGAAGGTAGGCAAACAGATAAAGATTGTACCAATCCTGACTGAACTGAATACATCCACAGCAAGAGCTGAAAGATTTGGAGCAGGTGACAAGGATAGAGGAAGTTCGGTATTTAGGGGAATGGGAAATGCATTCAAAAGGTGGGTACACAGTTGGGAGCATACCCATTAAAACACTTGAGGAGTAAGAGATCACTCTGTTAATAAAATCTTGTTGGGACAAGAAAGCCAATCTGCAACAAGATTCAGAGCACCTGGGATGTGAAAAGCAATAAGCTGAACTTGTTAAGATTGCACCCAGAAAAGGGGATTGAGTGTTTGAAAACAAAGTAAATGAGACTGGGTGCCTCCTTGGTAGTTGATATAAGAGACAATGGTCAAATTGTCAGAAAGGATCATGACAATGTGACTTCTTACCACAGGAAGGAATTGATTCAATGCTCAACAATCAGCCAGGAGCTCCAAAAGATTGATTTGTAAAGTCGATTCGACCACATACAAATGATATGTGATCTCCTGAGAATCCAAATATGCCCCCCTCCAACCCCATCAGAGATGCATCCATAAAAGATAAAGATTGGGAAGAGGAGAAAGAAGAGGAATGCCAGTCGAGGTGTTGTCTCTTTCAGGTGACCAGGCAAAGTCAGCTTGTAGGATGGAAGGAAGAAAAATGGAGGAGTCCAAGAGATCCTTATGCAAGGTTCCATTGATTGTGCAGCACCAACTGAAAGCAACGCGTGTGTGCACAACCCCAAGGGATGAGCGATTCCATGGAAACCAAAATCTCCAAAAGAGAGAGAACCTCACAAGTGGCTGGGCTCTGCTGAGGTACGAGTTGAAAAACACTCCCAAATGAATAAGGTATTGAGTGGGGGTGAGATGAAACTTCTCAAGTTTGACAAGCCGCCTCCTTCAGAAGGAGATGGATTGCATGAGGCTTGCTGGAATAGAGCCAAAAGAAGCCAGTCATCTTTGTGTGGTGAAATTGCAGTCCCAAATCCTGCATATGCAGTATGTGTGCTAGTGTATTAAGGGCTTTATAATGCCTGAAATTATGTCAAGGTTAACAAATTGTAGGTATGAACCAAAAATGTACCATTTATCTTTGTTGAGGCTGCTTGTTGAAGCTTAAGAACCCATTTACTGTTGTGTACTTTGAGTATAAGAGTATGTTTTCTCATGTTCTTTGTCTTGTAGAGAGAGAGAGGGATTATTTATGTTCTTTTATTTCGGTTTGTAAGACCATAATCTGGCAGTGTTTGATATTTTTTCTGCAAACAAATAATAGTTGATAGTTTGTTTTAACATCTTCTGCTAATACCAGCTATAAGAAGGCCTTTTGGAAACTATTTCCCTTCACCATGGATTGTTTAGGCAGCTCTTCTCACACACCTAATTTATCTAATGTTCACTTCATGTTCCCAATATTCTTCTACCCCCATCAAACAGTAACCTATGTTTATAATAAGTCCAATCACAACTAAATGTATTGAAGTATTTGGCATTAATGATGGAATTTTTTGTAGTCTTAATGTCAAATGAGCAGGGAACCATTTGGAATTCATTGGTAAGTATATGTGCTAAAGCATCACAATAGACTGGTAAAAATGTGTACTATGTTTTTACCAGAAATCAGTAATGGATCACTCAAAAAGGATGTTTCAAAACTATTATCAGTCTTATTGTGATGTAGTGTTACCTACTATGAACTAATGGATCGTGCTTTGCCAGCTTAGGTATATATCAATCTCCTCAAGTTAGTTTGCTTTGTTTTTAATGAAATTATTTGTGAAACTTAAAAAATGGAAAACTAAATAACATTATTTTTTAGTGATTTTGGTTTGATTGCATTTTTTATGCACCAAGTATTTTTATTACCATAAGCTATTAAGCCCACCAGGTATTTTAAGCTTAAAAGACAAAAAAACACCATTTGCTTCTGCTTATATACATAATTTGTTTCGGTTCTTAGAGGTACATAACATAATCTGCCTTAGAATAAATTATAACCCTACTACCTTTAAACATTTTCACAGTACTTAGCCTTTAGGCATTATACAGTTCATATACAGTTTTGAACAGAATCTAAGTAAAATAGTCCCTTATATTTTAGAAAACAGGTAAAACAAAAATGTTTCAGTTGAACATTAATTGCCAAAGCAGTGCTACTCACAAGTTAGTATAAAGCTAAAAATCTTTTATTGCATTTTGGGTTAAGTTATGAATTTAACGAGTCATTTTTTGTTCACATGTCGCAGGAAATCTTCGGAAGAAATAGTTAAAAAGCGACAGCGAGCAGTAGAATTAATGGAAAGGAGCAAAAATGAGGTGTGTGGTGGAGAGACAATAAATGTAATTTCTCTATTTTTTCATATGTATTTATCAATGATTTGTACTTGAGTTATCAGTATATAAATTCTTATCTGACATTTAGTGTATTTCCTAAAGAAGATTAGAAGTTTAGTCTTCTAAATTTGTTTTTAAGTGTAATAAACTTTGAAAATTATTTGCTTTCAAGCTATTTCTAACACAAAAAAAATTAACTGTACATTGTTCTTATACATAAAACTGCCCTTTCCTTATAGCCTGGTCTGCTGCACTTCTACATTTCTAAACAATGGGTTAACAAGTTCAACACCTTTGCAAATCCTGGACCAATCAGCAACTCTAATTTTCTCTGTCCCCATGGAGGTAACAATTAAATTTCAAAGTAGTTAATTTTGATTGATTTGTAAGACAGGGTGCCAAAAAGGGCTAGCTCTTTTTGTCTCCCACTATGACTGTTTTTTTGTACAAAATACTGATTTTAAAAAAGCACACAGAAAAACTAACAAATCATCCAACTTTCTTGTAACTTGTTACTTATCATAGGAAAATAATACTTATTAAAATTTTTATCATTCTAATTGCAGGTGTACATCCGAGCAAAGCCTCTTTTGTGGAAGAACTGTGTACAGTCTTGTCTCAGTCAGTATGGGAATATTTGCATGATACGTAAGTTTAATCAATGAATATGAAATTATTACTTGTATATATGTAACATGACTACTTCAACTTTAGGAATAAATATTTGTTTAGTTCTTGTGATCATCTTTTATATTTAGACCTTCTGTAGTCTATTTGGCAGGATTTTTTGTTTACTGTGGTTATTTTTTGCCTTCGTTGCATTCCAGTTAACGTAAATATTCTGTAATCACTTTCTATGTCTATCCTAATAATGGTACTAACCACGCAATCACTGTTATTTGATAGAAAATTAATAAACAAACTAGAGATTGATTTATGAAATTTCTCATAGAAACTTCTAACATAAGATCTGTAAATTGATCACCCCTGTTTTGTGTGATTGGCCATAAATATCCTTTATTCAAAAAGATTATTCGAATTTCCACTTACAAATATTATCTGAACATTTTTCATACATTTATATTAGTTTTAACCTTTTCCATGCAAGCAGTAAATAAGAGACTACCAGCTATAAACAACAATAACCCATCATGTGTTATGTCAAGAAATGTAGCTGTGAGTAAATATTTTGTATTAATTCTAATGGAAAACTTTGATGAATATCTTTGTCATGTAGTGTTTACTTATTGCCCACCTACCAATGACCCAGAATATTTGACCCCAATCAGGCCCCTTCCCAACATGAATAACTTCCTAAGTAGCCTATATCTTCGCCTATCACTTTGCCTCCGTACACCTTCACGTTAACTGGTAATGGATTGGCGCCTTACCAGTGGAAGTGGGTTTTCTCAGGGTACTCCCGTTTTCCCCCCACAACAAATTCTGGGCACAGGATTTATAGATCCCCGTCACCCTGAAGGACCCTATGTCCGAGATCAGACGTTTATTAGTGTTTAGTGCTCGGCCGTATGTATATTATACATCATATTCACTTTAGCTTGTAATTCCACAACCAAGACTATATCATTTCTCAATCCTCAAGTGGAACAAAGGAAGACTGCTCAGTCTTCGAGCACCCCCGATGATTAATTATTTTTAAAATGATTAATTTTATTTGAAATACCTGCCAGTAGTTTGAGTTCTCTACTATCAGCTCATGCATTTCATGCTTTGAAAAACACAGATATAACTTAAAGTAAAGTGTTTAACTCTTTGTATCTGTTTTGTTATTACCTCAGTTTAATATATTGTTGACTTAACTTTGGATCCTTTAAAGGCAGCATCTTTTTTTGTCTTTTTTAGAACATTGCTTTGTAAAAGGTCCTTTCTTCAGGGTCACTTATAATCACAAATATACAATGAAATACACTCTCTTTCTTCACTAATTTAGCACATTTTTTATAAATGTAACAAATATATTAGCCCACATTGAATTACAAACCCTGTCACTGCATCAGTGAGTGTGATTCTGAATGTATTAGCAATATTTTTTCATTATAATAAGCAATGTTAATAATGAACATTCCTCTTGCATTAAAGACTATTGCGTTTCATCAGAAAAAAATTTAATGTAATGAGGATCAGACTGATTACTTTTGAAAGTATGTGACCTAGAATGTATTTTTGTTGTTTTATAGTTTTGGTGGGGGGCCAGCCTGCACCCATCTATACGTGTGTCCTTGTTGTTTAGCAGATCAAGAAAACTTGGACCGTCGACGTACACAGGAACATGACACCTTTGTAACTGTGAGTAAATATATTACATTATTACTGTTAGCTAAGAAAAGTTTGTTCAGATGGTTGAAGATTAAACCATAAGCAAATGATTCTTGTAAAGAAATTTAGTGTTTTAATTGTTAAGTAAAATTTGACAGACATTTGTCACATTGAGGATGAATGGGTTTAATGCCCTTGATTTCCATCATATTAGTATAACTGGAAAAAAAGGTAATTTTTGCAGAATGTTAGAGATTAATTTGAAAAATCAGAAATAATCTGTCTGTAAGATAATATATTATCAACTTATACATTGCATACTGTGAAAACTGCAGCTTATACTTTATACATATGTGTTAAAATTCTATGGATTACTACAGATCTAGATCACAAAAAGATCATTTTTAAGATTGAACAGATCCAAGGAAAAAATTTGGTGGGGTAGGAGTATGTTTGTTTATCAAATCCTGACCATGACCAGTAGCAGAAGTTGGTTTTACATTTATTACACTTAACCAGAGCATGAGCTTCCCATCTTTGCTGTTCATGTAACATAAACCACATGAACATGCAAGCCTGTACATGATTAGTCAATTATCCTGTTACAAAGATATTTAGCCAATAGAAGAAAAACACAAGGTCTTCCTCCTTAGTGAGTAGGATCCCCAAATCATTGGCAGTGGTTATGAAAAGCAGTTATATGCAACAAATAGTGTGCTTAATTTATGTAACTTGCTATATATTGCATTATGCAGTAATGTTATTGATGTTAAACTCGTATTGAGAGTTTTAACTATACAAAAGTTACCAAAATTAATTTGAATCAATTACCCATGACCCACTCATATTCCTTCTTAAAGAGGGGTAAAAATGTAAAAAAAAAGTTCATAGATTTAAGCTTCTCTCTCTTCTCTCTCTCTCTTTCTTCTTCTTCTTCTCTTCTCTTGTTTATCAGGCATGGTAAAGAAGTTAAATTTGGTCTCAGAATGATATGTAGCATATTTCAAATTATGTATATGAAATACACTCAAGGGTGTGTCTATTATTAGTTCTCTATATATCGGTGTGCTATAAAACTTCGAAAGCTATAACTGTGATTGTTATAATGCTTATCAGTCGGAAAACTTAAGATATTTGAATAGGAATATATATATATATTTGATAGAATTCTGACTGTTAACAAAATAGTTCATCCATCTCTTTTTAGCACTGCTTGACTAAAAAACAGATTACAGCAATGATATGGTATTAAATGCTTAAAACTGGTAAAGCAATGAAACCAGTAATCATAATATTTGTGATAAGGATGACATTAAACTGCCACTTTGCAAACTTGTCAAAATAGCTTAGTGAGAACTTTGTGCAAAAATATAACTAAAACTAAATTCATTACCATTTTAATAATGTTACAATTTGTGTTTACAGCTGAACAAGGAGTTCCAATCTCTGGAGTCCCCAACTGTGGTATACGCCATCAGTATGAGTTGGTTTAAACAGTGGGAAAGTTTTGTTCGAGCTAAAGAAAGTGGTATGTGCCTTAGAATTCAGCTTATGTTTAACATAAGAACTTTCAACTTAATATTTAGATTTTTGTTTACTAACCCTCTGTAACGAATTAGTTGCTATGTATTTATTTTAATGTGAACGTTGTTTAGATTAAGTTTATATTTAAAAACATGCATAGCTTATACTGTTAGGTAGGTATTGCAAACCTCCCATCTATTCTCCAATGTTGTAGAAGATTCTCAAGAGTAAGAATCAATAATATATCTATTTACGTAAACGCTTTAACCAGCATTGTTATGTAAGACTGAATTTTCTAGAAAAACTTCCCACAGCTATAAATATAACCCACGAGGCGTGCCAAGAG